AGGATTCCAAACTTTGACAGCTTAGAGGTATATTTCACATACGTATCAAAACCGGATTTGGTGTCCTCTGTTTATAGAGATGTTATTTGAAACCCTAAAGATAATTACCAAATAAAATAATAATTATCTTTTTCTTTGAACGACAGCTTAACTGGTTAGGCGTTAATGTTAATAATAATTATTATTATCTAATGAATTTAAATTATTCTGGAATATTCCATATTCCATTAATTTACTATTAATTAATTAAACTATTAATTAATTAACAAAACAAGTCCTTCAAATAAATATCTTTTCATATATGTTTCATTTTATTTTTGTATGTAACCCAAAAGGACACTATTATTTATAGTAATATTATCGGGTTTGTTATGACTATAAACACTAATCTCCATAAAAAAGAGCATTGTCAATTTTTGTCGTGGAGGAGGTTTTAATTGCTTGCACTTATTGGATAATGAATAGTTGAAATAAAAAGAGTTCATTTTATTGTGGACTATAAATATTATGTTTTAATAGATATTTATGAGTTTCTATTAATTATAAGTTTATTTTGTTATTTATTATATTTTCATTGTGATTTATTAAATATTTTAAATAAAAGAAGATGAATAAGATGTTAATCACCAAATTATGGTGACTGGTGTTGAAAATTGTTGTTAAAACACCAAATTATGGTGTTGAAAATTGTTGTTAAAAAGAATACAACAGAATTTCCAACTTCAATAGTTGTGTTTAAAATGAATTAACATATTTTTTGTTACAAAATATGTGTTTAAAACTGTGTTAATCATTATAATGGCAACCGTAATGCTTTTGATGTACAAATATTGTATATCATTGAGTTAAGGTGATGTGTAGTGATGTTCAACGGTATCAAAGAACCGTTTTGATTGTTCTATTTCGATAAACATACATATGATAGTTGAGAATCTTTTTTTTTTTTTTTTTTTTAATAAATATGTCAAAAACATTTCTTTATCGCAATGTTGTTTATGTTTGCATATTGATTGTCTAACGATCTTAAAATGATTTCTAATTTACTTATAACATTGTGAGTTTTTCTTCATTTGAATACATTTTTTTACAATATATCGTTTAGTTTATTTTAAAATTTGTGCAAAGATTTTATTAACAAAAACAATACAGTCCTTATAATACCATTACAAATTTTATAAAACAGTTTAGAAATTTTCAGAAAAGCAATCGAGAATATTGTTACTTCCTACCCGCATCAAACTCATGTTTTGCCAAGAGGTACATCTATTAACTTTGCAATTAGTCATGAGAAAAAACCATAAAAAATTTGTGGGTTGCATTTTAAGAGATAACAACAAAAATGTTCTTTAGGTTGACCACTTTGAATCTTACGCAATTCTCAAGTGAAGATGTTCCTAAAGTCGTTGAAGGAAATAGTGATGTACGAGTTGTTGGTGCCCTTGAAGCTTGGAAACACTCTTATTTGCAGTGTAGAAACTAATGTTTATAGTGTATCATTTAGAACCTACCAATGATATGGATAAATTGAATTATTTGAAGCATAAAAAAGAAGGAAATGGTTGTTGGAGACCTCATTGTTAGACTTCGGGTGGATGAGAATGACAAGTTAACATAAAATAGTGGATATGCCCCTACTTGCACTAAGGCTACTTAATAGAACATGGTTAGTCGTCGCTAAAGAAAGAATTTGTAGATGGAAAAAACCTAGAGAGATGAAAAGGTATAAATTCGAGACCAAAATAAGGAAATTTGAAGAACAAGTTCCAAGTAAATTTCTACATTATGTGACTGAATATTGCAAGTCTATGAATTAGGAAAAAGCTAATTAAAGTGGCTAACATTGTGGAAAACATCACTCGAGATTTGTCTATTGTCAAAACATGCAACAATATTTTCTAAAGTTACAATCATGGATTCAAACCCGAGCAGTGTTGGATAGACACAAGCGTAATCCGACATATATGCTCAAATAGGGAGATGTTCAAGACCTTCTAAGTTGTTAAAAATGATAATTAATTGTTCATGGAAAATTCAGCCACTCATGAGATCGATCTAAGGGAAGAAGTAAGATATTTATGAAGATGATGTTGAGAAAATATCTTACGATAAATAATGTATCATCGTTTATGACAGAAATTCGTAAGAATTCAGTGTTATTGATTGTTTGACAAGCATGGTTTTCACTCGTCTTTTTTTAGTTTGTAAGTTTATTTACAAAAGTATGCATGTTTGTAAAGAAAGGGCACACGACTAATGGAATGTTTAAGTTGAATGTAATAGCTATTAACTGTATTAAGCACTCAATCAATTAACAGGATAATTCTACGATTTACTTGCTTACTTGAACATGTTAATTTTAATACTATTATTCACCTATTAGTCAAACATGAACATTACTCCATTTTATATATTATATAATGTCACTAATTTTCTCTGAGCCTTCCGATTCAAAGAAATATTCTAAGTACGTTGTGGATGAACTCGATTTTTCAAAAGAGTGTTCAAAAATAGAAATTGAACTTACAAAAATGCTAGATATATAACAAATAAAATATATAATTTCGTACCAAAATCAAAAAAGAAATTCGAAATGAAGTACTCAAACTAGCAAAACTAATTATAATTTTTTTTTTAAAACGTATTTCAAAATTTGAGAGAATTTTAAAATAGGGAAAATAACTTAGAAGCTCAACCAAGTTTTCAAACAATTCAAAAAACCTCAATTATGTATGTCTGTTCAAGAAAAAACCAACGAACTTAACCTTTTGTCTAAAAAAGTCCAACAAAGTTTCAAACCGTTCAAAAAAACCTCAATTTTCTTTTGTGTAAGTTCGTGGGGTTTTTTTTATCAGACAAAACATGATTGAAGTTTTTTGAACAGTTTAAAAACTCCGTTGTTCTAACAAGTCATTTTTCCGATATGCTAATAAGCATTCTCCTCTTTGACTTCCATAGAACCAAACGAAAATATAATTTAGTTGGATTTTTTTAGACAAAATATTAAGTTCATTAGATTTTTTTGAACAAACAAAACATGATTGAGATTTTTTAAACAGTTTGAAAACTTCGTTGGTTCATTTTTCCCTTTTAAAATACATATTTTTGCTTAAAGATGATCAGTTTATCAAGTATCACACCATTTTATTTTGTGATTACCCCTAAATTTATTTTCATCAAAATCCAACGTATATAGTTCTATAAAGTATGTTACTTTTTTTTATCATTATATATTGGATAATATATTTTATTTGTTATTTATTATTTATTATATACCAATTGTTTTTGGATTATATATTTTCTCCGACCATGGAGCATGGGAACTACTGATAATGGTGCGCCTCTCCCTCTCTAATGATCTGGCGCTAACTTATGGGTGTTGCCACTCGGATCCAACGGTTCAGGTCCAATATCACTTACACGTCGCCTTCGGCGCAAGTTAGTGCCAGCCCCTCTATTTTTTAGTCTTCTTCCACACTTGAATCAGTTGAAAGGAATCTAAAAACATGACGATCTTACCCCTTTCTTTACCATATCAGGGAGCATTATTTTAAGGGGATGGAGACACGTATTTTTAAAGATCACCAAAGTATTATGAAGAGATACCCCCTTGAGTTTTCTTAGATATACAAATATTACCCCTAACTTTTGAAAAAATGTACTTATGATACTTGACTTGTAATCAATGAAATCTTAGTTACTCATTGTAACATTTATTTGTTTAGATTAACTTTTGTTATGTCCTGGATCTTACCTAAGATCGTTTTATATTTTGCAAGATCGGATCGAGATCAAAATATCTTACGAGAATGAATTGATCTTCAAATTTGTTTGTAGTGTCTTGTTTGTGCAATATATATTATAATTTGGTGTTGATTCAGACATTGTCGGTGGAAGTGGAATCTGGTCGTCTTTTTTTCGGTTGCAACAATAGCAACATGCTTTTCCTTGGGAATGGGGATGGAGACAACTACTTTCGTGGTAACATGGGGGCGTTGAGGGGGGGGGGGGGGGGCAAAGTAGGCAGCTGCACAGGGCCCAAATTTTTTATCATATATTTTTATTTAAAAATAAAAAAAATTATAATAAAGATAAGGGCCCCTTTTTTTCTTGTTCGTCCCGAGCCTTTGAGAATATTTAATTTCTCAGAACCGGTCATGCGTGGTAATTGTTGCATTTCCCTCCTTGATTTTATATTCTATATCAATCGAAACTTCGAGATCTGTTTATGCATTCTTACTCGTGCTAATTTCCATCAATTTGTCACATCGTTTGGTGGAAGTGGAATTAACTTTCACTTTTTAAACATAAACCATAATTTTTGTTGTTGCAAACCATACAAATTAAGAAAAAAAATAAGATAATTGTGATCATATACAACTAAATCCATAAGATCATAAAGAGAATAGCATGAGTGTCATGATGCTATATCTAATTCAAGATGAATAGATGAAGTGGTGATGCTCAATGAGACTTTTTGCCTCTTTGGACATGTGATGTTCGAGTTTAAGTTGTATGGATGGGTTTTTAAGGTTCGACTTGATAATAAATACTAAAAATGTGGGATCGGACCATGTTAAGATCTTAAGATCCTAGTTGTGATCCTAAGATCTCATCTTCTTTTAGATAGATCTGAGTATAATCATGATCATGATCGTTTTCACTTGTACAATCTTAAAATCAAAATCAAGATCTTAACAACCATAACTTAGATGAATGTCGTTTAGTTAAAGTCCAATTTAAACTGTCATCTACCAAACCAAACCCTTTTTGGTTGGTTTGGCCATCTACATGATTGTTACTGTTATAAAATCAAACTGAGCTTGTGAGTATCGCATACATTTTGATGTCTAAACCGATCAAACAACTGTGTACGTGCCTAATTTGTTTAAAGGTGAATCCAAGGTCAAATGACACGAATTACACATTCAAGGTACTCAATGTTATCAATGTCAAAAAGAATAAGTATGTTACTTGATATATCTCAAACTAGAGGGGAAATAGTGCGAATCTCTTTACAACCAGTGGTGCATAATGCAAACCATCTGTATAAATTGCAAGGCCCTCTTCTTCTATCAACTCTGGTTGCAAATCTGAGAAAAACGATCAGTTCAACGCCGCCGGGATCTGAACTTCCGGTGAATTTTCTACTGTCTCAGTCATAAATATTCTCTACTCACATCTACACACAAAATTCAAGTTTCGTGTTAGATTCATCGGAGAAAGTAGTCCACCGTCGGACAAACTGGGAAAGGGGAGGGTCGCATGATGGGATTTTGTATATGTCCGTTAGAGTCTCCGGCGAGATTGTTGTGGAGTACTAGCTTCTTCCGCCACAAGATCATGATTTTCTAAGAGATAATCACATCGGTTGTATACGATCACGTATATACTTCAACTCTGATCTAGGGTTTTTGATTCTTCAGAAGTTGATATATACATACATATATATAGAGAAACCATTGGAGATCTCTAATACTATTAGTCACAGACAAATCAAAGCTTTTCAAATATGGAATCTGGTCGTCTTTTTTTCGGTTGCAACAGTAGCAACATGCTTTTCCTCGGGAACGGGAATGGAGACAACTACTTTCGCGGTAATTGTTGCATTTCCCTCCTTGTTTCTATATTCTGTGTATCAATCGAGACTTTGAGATCTGTTTACTCATTCTTACTCGTGCTAATTTCCATCCATTTGTTGCATTGATTAATCATTCATGAATCAATAATTGTACTGATCTGTTAATTAAGTCGTTGACAGGAACGAGGATGGGGTTTAACATGGAAGAATCTTCGAAGAAGAGACCATTTTTGAGCTCAATCGATGACATGTTGGAAGAAGAATACTACGATGAACAATTAACGGAAAAGAAGCGGCGTCTCAGCCCCGAACAGGTTCTGATATACACTATTTACGCATTCGATTCTGGAATATTTGATATCGACACCGAATCACTAGACTATTTTATCATATCATTATAGCTATCTATATAAAAAAAGTGTTCGATCCTTTATAGATGTATGTTTGGATTATTGAATGAATGACACTATTAAGGTCCACATGCTGGAACAAAGTTTTGAGGAAGACAACAAGCTGGAGCCGGAGAGGAAAACCGAGCTGGCGAAAAAGCTTGGATTGCAGCCGAGACAGGTGGCTGTTTGGTTCCAGAACCGCCGTGCACGGTGGAAGACAAAGACGCTTGAAAGGGATTACGATCGCCTCAAGTCTTCCTACGATATTCTCACCTCCGACTTTGACTCCATGGCCAAGGAAAACGAAAAGCTCAAGGCTGAGGTACACCTACACCTCTATTCATCTTTTTCATACACATATGATCTATCATCTATCTTCAATTGCATCTGGGCATCCATGGATTCTATAATTTCTGAAACATCTTATTTAAATTAATCACTCATATAAGATACGCCATGAACAATTTGAAAGAAATTACACATAAATTATCATATGTGTTGTCCAAATCATACAACCCATATGATTTGTATATCATCGTGTGGTTAAGCTTTGGAAAAAGCATCAACAAAAGCACATATATTATCAGTATATATGATTGTGGTGTTGTCCCTCTCTAAAAAAGGGCAAGTGATACTGACAATTCACATCCGTGTATTTTATATTTATTATGTATTAAATTATTAATTGACCCTACAAAACAACTATCTTTTTATTAATATAGAAGAGAACAAAAGAGATTTGTAGTGTTGGTATATATATATATATATATATA